TGTACTTCGTCGAATGTTCAAGTTCTTACTAGAAATAGGTTACGCGGATATATATATAGGATGGGACAACGTGACGCGGTAAGGTATAGACAGTGAGTAATTGAACTGCAGTCACAGCATATTGTTGAAGTTAACGTTCGTTGGTTACAGTGTTGTGTTAGCGCGAGTATTGAGATTAAGTGTATCGGTAAAGTTGTATTCGGAAATAATAAACCAGTTTTATTAAGTAAAGACTTGTGTCGTTAAAGTTTCGTTGGAATGAAGTTACGGAAAAATTAATTAACACACGGAAACGTAACAATATTAAAGATGAGTGTCTTTCACTGCCTAGCCTCCATACTAAGAAGAAAAAACATATCACTATAACCATCCTTGACAATGAATACATGGAAGACTTGAAAAAGAAAATAAAGAAGCTGAAAGAAAATTACAGACAAAATGGTCTCTGACAAAATAGTGTATATGCAAACACTATAAAGAAAGAACAATATTTAAAAGCCACAATACAATAAAAGCACAGTTTGTACACACTGAACCACCTAATGACCCAATAGAGAACAAAAACAACTGACAAAATCCTTTGTGGATGTGGACTCCAATATGTTGTAAAAACATATAGAATCAATAAAAGTTGAAATTTGTTAGAAACAGCCAAATCTACAATATCCCGTCATGTCAGAGAAAGTTTTTCATAAAAATTGAATAATACTAAAATAGTAATGGGATCTGAATCACACAAACAAAAAAAAGAAACATTTGACATCCATCTAACTGATAACAAAATTTAATCTAGCACAAATGTCAGCAAAACCTGGATAACCCTCTTTAAAACATTCAAATAGCTGATCCTAATCTTAACAGGAGAAAACTCAAATTAGTGTAAAGCATACAATCCTTAACAACAAAAGACCCAGGAATGAATCCTGGCTCCTGTCATAATAGATTACCTGAAGATAAAGCAGACTGGCAGCTAAAATGTAAGACATAACCAATTAGTGTCTAGTGATAGTAACAATATCACTAATCAGTACTTATGTGAGCATTTATTGATGTCCTATCATTGCAACCTTTACTTAATCAAAAGAAACATTTAACAACAAAATGAAAACAACTGAATAATGATACAGAGTTAAATAAGTTCTGAAAGTAAAAAATTATTAACCAAGGATTAAAAAACAACATAAAAATATGTCAATGGTCTTAAGTACCTTTATATTGAACAATATCATATGCTAACAAACTTTACTGCTTTAAAAAAATATGGAATAATGAGAGACTTCTTTGGTTTTGAAAGCTAAGTAAATAACCAATGCTTGTTAGATGAACTAACTTGTGTGATTTCTAGTGAAGATAATTATATAATACTAACAACTGTTTTATTGACTTCTTGAGTTTCTGTGGGTAGCTATTTTGATGACCACCCACAGCCAAACAGCCTACATTCTTGAGCACAAAATTTACAAGCTGCAACAATGACTAGTAAAACTAATGTAATTGTAACTTATTTAGATGGTAAACATGCAGATGTGGGTAAAATTATGTATATGGCCATGTCCTAGTAAAAGTTTCTTATATAAAAGGCTTTACTTTTGTCAACATTTTGATGAAAAATACCAATAGTTTTTGCTATCAATGAAGTATTAATTTTATTATGTTTTAATTTTAAAGCTGTATTTGTCAGCATGTGTGTAAAACAAACTTCAAGCTAACTTAACAATGCTATAAGCAAATTATCAAATACATACCAAAGTTTGTGGAGATCAGCATTACTTTTAATTCTCAAGTCATCTTTTCTCCATGCTCTTCCTGAGAAAACAAATGCATTTCAGTTTTTCATGTAAACATTATAAGGAGTAATTTTTTCTTTTCTGCTCTTATCACCTTGGAATTCATTTTTTGATTATACTTTATTATACATTAAATGCTTAGTTATAAGTATATCACCCACAATGTAAACCTAGGGTCAATGTAATATATACAATTTTGTAACGGTACTATGCCGAATATTCGAAGGTAGTTTTCTATCCATCAACTGAGAAACATACATTATTCTCTTTCCCTCATAGGTTGTTACAGCCTATGTTGCATAGTCTACAAAAGGTTTAGTCATCAGGCTTTCATTTCCAAAATACACCACTTTCCCTCATAATGCTTTCCATAACCCATTTATTGTACAAAGGTAGTGGTTTCCCAGTACCTCATTGACTGAACAGTCTGACTGCACAGAAATCCACAGGCACTGCATCTTACAACTTAACCAGTATGTCTTCATATAGAATGGCACAAATACCCCCTTCATTCTCCTACTGCTTGAGGTATGCAATGGTTAAACAAGATATATAACTGAAAGCTTATCTTGAATCCATATCCTATTTGCCTCATTTCCAGATAGAGATCCTTCTTGATTATGTTGTACACTGTGGCCTAAGTAGACATGAATGGCTGTTGCTACTTGCATCTGAATTCTCATCTTTTATAAGACACCTCATTTTGCTTACCACAGGTAAGGTAAGACTTGGTGCAGGTCTCTTATGGATGGTCCTGGTGTTCCAAGTTGATTCATATTCTTTTGTTTTCCCGTGCCATTAAGTTCAAAAGATATCCACATCTTCAAAATTCTAAATGCTCTGTATGAATAATCTTTATGATCCGAGTTTATGAATACCTTGCATTAAAAAGGGCTGTTAAGTAAGTCCAGTAGAGTGTTGTAAGAGTGCTAAATCAATATTTTTTAATCTTTTCAATACCAGGGACCAGTCGCTGCCTCCCTAAACTGCCAGGGACCACTAAAATCCTAGTGCAATGAGAAAAAATGTTACGATTTGTATATGAATATTCTGTTGTTTATTTTTATGAAAACTCATTATACAGCAAAATGGTTGCAACAGACTGGTACTGGTTCACTGAATTTTTTCATGTAACAGACATTATCAATTCTGAAATGTGCTTTTTTGCAGTCATGAAGGTCATTGGCAGCATTAGAAATAGCAATAAATATTGGCAAAACATTAAAGTATGCATAGTACTTAACTATTATAAGCAATCAGAGTCCAAAATCAAATATATCTTTAAAATGCCCTGCTGTAAAGCATATGTGAATTATTAGCCACATGAAAAAAGCTGGTTATACTTGAATATTATTGCCACAGTACCTCTGTGGTCTTCACTCTAGTCTTTCATTTCTTGAAAACTATGAAAGATCTCAATGCCTTTTAATTACTCAAGTCTATTACTATCCTTTCTAGTGGAACATTTGATTTAATTTATCAATCTTTAGAAGTGTCTCATGTTGTGATGATTGAATAAAATAAAGTAGCTTAACCTATAATGTCACCCACAAATTTATATTTTAAAATGTTTAAAAAAACTCTACCAGTTAATTTTCTGGAATGTAAATGAGTTACTTTATGATAGGATCAAGACTGGCTAAAATTCCACTCTGTAAAAGAAGTTGTAATTATTTAATTTCCCTCTTTTTTTTTCCTATATAAAGCATTTCTACTCAAAGTTATTTTCATCAACTGTTGAAGAATTTCTTCTTAAAAGTTCACTTGCTTCTGTACCTCTTGCTACAAGAAAGACCACACAAACATGACAACTTGCATATGGAAGCTCTCACGATCTTGTACACTACTCATCAAACAATCCAGTAGCATATCGTTTTGGATAACTGGTAATGTGGGTTAAATTCTGTTGGTGAAGTACCACTATACATAGGTTCAACTATCTTATCCTACTGAATAGATCAAGTATATGGCCCTTCAAGGCTCTTCCCCAGCTTCTTGGGGACCCCATAATAGTTAATGACAGTGGTTAGGAATCTTCAGGTAATTTCATACCTTGGTCCATAAGAGGTTTAGTTCACATTATAAATAAGTAAGTTTGGAGAATAGCATATTCAACTATGTGTAGATGGTATTATTACTCCCAACTTGGTTATGGTGCTGTAAAAATTCTCAGGAATATAACTCAAGAAAATAGGCCTTTTGGTTTGCAAGACCAGTGCTAAATGAAATATTTTAGTGTTTTGTATTCAATAAGTTACATGTCACAATATCACATGTCACAATATTATGATATTCATACAATCATATGTTCCATTCCTATAACTATTATAGAACTCAGATGTATTCAAGTAATTTTTGTAAATTTTCATGCAGGTGTTATGGACATAGTTATGTTATACATATAAGCTGGTTATCCAAATGTCAAACATACACCAATCCTCTTGTTGATGTAAAGGTTACATACTTTAATGGCTATTGTAACTTGTATCTACTTAAGCCTATTTCTGTTTCCCAGAATGGGGTTAAGATCATTTAAAATTCCAACACAGAGACTTGTACAAGTTAGTATGAGCTGAGAGTTCTTTTTCTTGAATATGTTTATTTAGAATGATTGTTGATGTAGGCAATCTACAGACTGAAACATACTGCAGTAGTATTCTGGCATAAACTGAAAGGTGGTATTTCATTATTCTTGTTCCTGTCGTTATCTGGTGCAGACATTTAAAAAAGTCCTCCTTCCTGCAGCAAGTGGTAGTCATACAGTGAATCTAAAGCATTCCAGCTAGTACTGTGTTTGTTGTATTTCAGTCAGCCTGAAGAACCCTGAACTGAGTGAAATGCATCATCAGCAATGGATATGATGAATATAGAATGTTTTGAATATTATGATATAATATTCTAATTCTTAAAAATTCCTAAGGAACTAGATATAGGAAGTAATGTTAAAAATATAACAGGCCTAATTCTTACAACAAGTATAATTAATTACATTAGACATTTGTTGGTTTATGTATTCTTTTAATTTACATTTTTTTTCAAATGAAAATGTATACTTGTGAAATGACATATCAGAGAAAGGTGAAGTGTTATATTCATCTAATTCAAGTGCTGGTTGTATAGCATGATTCTGATATTTGTGAGAATGCAACTTCAAGTTGTATCTGAGTGCATCACCTTTGGATCAGACATAAAGTATATGTATGAATGATATCTTTAATTTAAGCTGTATGTTCCAATCTTTGAATATAAAGTTAAAAATATGTTTGGTTCAGCAGAAATAATTGGATTTTAAGTAACATTTCAATAGAGTGACCACATTTTCAGTAATAATTCTTGGTTACAAGTTAGAGTCAGTTATCATTCATGACTGGTAGACAGAACCTTATTAACAATGTTTCTAGTATTGAGTCTCATAAAAAGAGAAATGATGTCAAAGATCAACATATCAGCAATTGTGGAGTGTAGAATGGAAATAGTTTAGACTTAAATTGCCACTTTTTTTTTTGCATTCAGAGTGTTATGGCAAAAGTTTTATGATGTTAACTATGAATTTAAAAGTACAACACTCAAGAAAACTGATATACAGACAATTAGGTATAATTGTATGTCAGGCTTATGAACCTTGAGAACCCCAAAGAATTGAGGAGAAACAGCACAGTATGATAAGAATTTCCTGAATTGCTCCATAGTCACTTTCTATGTACTTGGTATCATTTCACAATGTATTTTTAAGAGTTAACTGTATAATGAACAGTGTTAATGCATGATGACATCATTGTGCAATGAAAACCCTCCACCAATAAAAAAGTGACACAACCTCCTTTCATAGTAGCTTCCCCTAAGCACTTGTGCTTGAATTAACTTCATTCTTAGATGATGCAAGAAAGTACACAAGAAGTGGGGAGGATAGGAGAGAAGATGTGCAGGGGGTGTGTATATATATCAGAAATAAATTTTCAGGCAAGGAAAATGTTACCTTGTGAGACAATACCTCACCTATTTACACAGAATGATGGAGGGGCCAGTGCAAACTCTAAACCTAAACATGCTTCTTTCAGAAAGTGCCTGAAGGAAAAGCCCATGAAGTATGACACCCAATGGCAGAGACTCCACAGGGGTACACTTTGAGAGACCTCATCTCATCTCGACCACAGTATACACTTTGCCTGAAAGGAAAGGCAAAAGAGCCCCAAGTGTCACAGGGATGGGTGAAAATTTTTGCATGACCAACCTATTACTAGCACACAAGAAGTCAAGAAGCCAAGAAGTGTAGTGTGGTTAGGGTGTGATCAAACCATATGGTGTGTGTATGACCTCAACTTAACTGGACTAAGGCGATGAACCCATTCTGCAGTACAAGGATGGCACACTAGCAGTTTGAGGGGTGACCCACCCTACACAAACAGTACCACCACCAGCATCCTACTTCCCAAGTAAGTAAGTAATTGGGTATTGACAATAACATACATATGAGATGTGATTTTGTGAAGAAAAATAATATTGTTAACTTAATTTATGATATACCTGTAAGATGATTTACAAGTAATCCTAAAATAACAAAGACCCATGTTAAGCCTAATCTAAAATTATAGGACATAGGACACAACTACACTCTAATTTCAAACCTGAACTGGACTAGGAGTATTGACCAATCTAACTAAACTTATGTTATTGAACCCAAATAACAACAGATAAAAATATTAACAGAAAAATTATTCAAAAACCATAACCTTATAACACCTTATCTTTCCAAAGTTGCTGACCGTAGTTCAAACTTGAGTCAAGGCCTGACGAAGGTCAGCTCATTGGACTATCAATTTCCCAATGAGGTAAAGACAATAATTCCCCAGTCGAAGACTACCACCTGAAGCCTGTGTAAATGTGCTGATTGAAAATACAACCTCTGAAGTGGAAACTTAGAATTCTGAATTCATAATTCAAAATGAATAACCAAACACAACCATGCCAGCAGAAAGAAATAAAATGTAGAAAAAAAAATTGTAATGAAGCATTAAGTATTGTAACTGGGTAGAAATATAAAATAACTCTACTTCAGAATAAGTTAAAAATATTACTATTGTATAATAAATAGTAAACTTATTGACAGAAATCGATACAAAGATACAAAAAAATCACTTGAAGAGAGCACAAACTAAACGTCTGAACATGAGCACTGCCAAATGAGAAGTGATAGGTGGAATAGCATAGATGGAGTCAAATGAGTCACGTGTGTGTGTGTGGCACTACTATTGGTGGAGGCTTGCCACATGATAATTTGCAAGCGAGAATCAGTTGAACTATGGGAATCAAAAGGTGAGTGAGAGCAAAAGGGTTGTGGTATGCAAAAATATTTTTGCAAATAGGGAACAGTGCTGAACAAGAAAGCTATGTATGTGAGCAGAAGTAAGGTACTTTGTCAGGTGGGTCTTTATGTAATGTGCTCTGGTTTTTTAAGGTACCAGCAGAAATAAGACCCAATAATTTGTCTTTCATTTTAATACTGGTATTGTAATATGTAGCCGTCAAAATGACAGCAGTATGGCAGTTCAAGGTATGAGTGAAACCCTGGCAGTTTAAGTTTTGAATTCCAAGCACACAAACTGGAAAGCTTCAAAAATACTCATTCTTCATTAGTACTGTTTAATATTACTACATCAGAAGCTAAAATTATTTGAAAATAAGAATTTTTAAATAAAATCACACCACAGTGTACCTTACTAAAACAAATGTAAATGCAAACATATTCCCATTTGATGGGTAGCCTTTTCTTTGAAAAAAAAAACTTTTCCTAGTTTTGTGATTCAATTTGACTATCAAATAAAATGAGTGGTTTATGTTTATCCAAAGACACCAACTGATAACTTCCTCATGGAATACTTAATCATATGAAAGAAGTTTACCAGACTTAACTTCTTGAGCACCCCAATTTTTGGGATCATCAAAAAATTCCATCAATTCTTTACAAGACTTTGTTGTCTGAATCGAACGCTTAAACCCTTGGATACATGCTCTCCTAGAACAAATTGACCTAATGGATAGAAAAAGAGACAGTATTAAAGCTGCTGCATATTTGTATATTAAACATAAAAATAAATATTAATCTGTGACATATGATTTATTTTATTATTCTTCATGTTAAATTATCAAGAAACCAACAAAATTCATAGATGAACCAACATTAAACCTAAGTATCTACAATTTGTGTAATGGTGGTGAAGAAGACTTTTAGTGTCACATACTGCAGCACAAACTTTCAGAAACATTACTTACCTGAAGTGTGACCCCGAGTTCAAATTATTACAGTAATGTAACTAAAGTACTAAAATTATTTAATCACTTTAAAAAGTCATTTGAGGGTTTTATAATTAAAAGTTTTTACTTTACTTAACAAATAGTATTATCATGATGTCTTACTCTGAGAGGGTGCTGGAAAGTAAAGACATGGAAAAGATAAGTTCTTAAAATTTCTTGTACTATTAAGGTTCAAATTAACATTCTAACTAATTTCTTGCAAAAATTTCAGTTTACTTTTAAGATACAATAGACAACTTGGCTTATCATGCATATATTTTACAAGTTTTAGTAAACTACAGTGTGTACTGTAATGAGGGTGTTTTAACAAATGTTTTACCTTTCTTATAGTTATGCCATTATTTTTAAGCTGAATTTCTATAAGTTATTAATATAATCTCCTCTATGTATATACATATACATGCAATTAGATTTAACTTTGTAGAGAAGGAAAATATAAATAAATTAATGAAACTATATCCTTAAAAAATATGTAGCCACACAAAAAAAAATTGAGCACCGGGGCACATATAATTATGTAATGTGCCGTGGTTTTTTAAGGCACTAGCAGAAATAGGACCCAAACTTCATTGGGATAAACCATCTGTCCAATTTAACCTCAACTTTGCTGGCCTTGCATGCTTAAAAATAAAAAAGGAGCAGATGTGGTTGCTCAAGCCCACAACATCCCTTTATTGGTTGTAATTGTACAATCAATTATTGTACATTCAAAAAAAGCAAAGGTCAAAATACTGTGCTCTGAGGTACCCCAGGGTTCGATTTTAAAGGTCATCTGAGATGGCTAAAAACTTCCTCAGGCAACCAACTTAAGCCCCAACCTTGTCCAACAGATGACTAGTGCCCTGGAATAGACTCTTACTCAAAACAGTATCACAGTCCACTGTACACTTATCCATGGCCATACTGCACACATAATGTTGACTCTGATCAAAATAATGGGAAAATTCCCTAACTACAAACTCAAAAATTTGAGCCCACACAAAAATATCTTTTGGTCCATTTTTTTGTTTAAAAAAGATTGTATTTTGTACATACAAGACAAATGTTGGTAAAATCCATCGAAAGGGGCTGAAAACATTAGGAAAAGTTTGCTTTTGTAATTGGCTAATAATGCTGTTTTAGCCACTAAAATTTCTATTGTGGTCATGTTGCATAAATGGATATGTGTGGTAAGACAGTACAGTGTATACAGCTCAGTTAGTTACATTACCACACATTTTATTGTGCAATGCTTTTTTGCATATACATCTATAGGTGGGTGGGAATAGTGCTGATAAGACAAATATTTAATGAGATTAATTTCTAGTATAGATTTTTATGACAATAAAACTAATATAGCTATTTCAATTTCTTACTGTTAAACCCCCAGTAGGAACTAAAATGATCTAATTTACAAAATGAAACTGAGAATTTCCATCATTAATTGTCACAGTTGAAACACTAACCCCCCTTTCAATTATGCATGTATAGACCTAAGGCTAACGTTAGACAGACATGGCCAATCGAGTCTAGGAAATACAGAAGGCCTAGATATCATGAGAAAAGTGGAAAAATCCACAAATTAAACAGAACATGATAATGATAACTGCAAACAAAATTTTATGAAAGTTTTTATCAGGACGAAACAGGATAACAATAATAAATAAGGAAAGCTTTGTCTCTATGCAGGTCAATACAAACAATGAGTATGAACAACAAGACATATGAACAGTGTTTGTGTACAAGTGATGAGCTCAGGCATTGTGTACATATTATGATATAGTAGTACGAATGAGACCTCCGATGCAAGTCTAGTCTTACTACAAGCAGTATTTTACTGTACTTGGCAGGCAGGCCAAGCTGGTTAGAATGAAAACATTGAACATGATTAGCCACGATCACTGTTCAGTTTAAAAGTTTTACAAGTCATTGACTGTTTATTTCCTTAAGATACTATGCATTAGCATGGTTTGGGCTTATTTTTTATAATGCAATGAAACTTCCCAGGAAATAAGGCATCAAAAATTAGTTGAATAAAGATGCAAAATTGCCAACTGAACATTAATTGTACTTTTTGAAAATAAATAAGATATAAAAAACAAAAATTATTGTAACTAGATCCTTTATTTTTAGGGTCTTTGTACATCAATATTGTTGTAATTCAATCTTTTTTGAGGGTCTATGTATTTTTTTTAATACAACCAATACAGCCAACCTCAGATGTCCTTAAACTAAAGCCCTGGGTACCTCAATTGTGACATTAATCCACTGAGCTCCATTTATAACAACTCTGCTTTCCTTCATCTATTTACTTTTCTATCCAATGAGCAAACTTATACCCCACACCCATAATTATATAATTTCTTATGTCCTTTATGTGGCACCTTGTCAAATACTTTTTCAAAATCCAGATAAATCCAAATCCATATCCTCATCTACATAAGAAATAACTGCTTCAAAGAATATCAAAAGATTAGTAAGACAAGATTTTCCCTATTGAAACCATGCTGACTATCCTAGATAATTTTAAGCTCTGTTAAATGACTTTGCAAAGTATCTTTTAGCAGACTTTCAAAAACTTTTCCTACCACTGATGTGAGACCTTGAAAGAAGAGTAACATTGGTCAACTTCCAATTTTCTGGTACCTACTCGCTATCCAAGGACTTAAAAAAATGATAGTAAGTGGCTCTCATAAACAATCCTTATCATCTTTCCAAACCCTTAGGTAAAAATTATTTGGCACAGGTGCTTTATCATTCTTTCCTGTATCATACCTAAAAGACTCTACTCTCATTCTAATACTTTGCTTACCTTTAGATATTGATCATTGGCTTAATATTTTTCCAAGTTACCAATTAATTCAAGTCATTATTTAATATTTCAAAATATTTAATGTTATCAGCAAATTTTACAAATTTGCTAACTATGCTCTTTGTTAACTCATTATTCCAGTTCACTAATGATAAAGTTTGTCTTGTGGCTTTAAAATTGATGGCTGAAAATTAGGAACTAAAATTTCATTTCTTATTATCTAAAATGAAGCAAAACATCAAACTTAATTATTAATGATCACTCTTTTCCCAAAGTTTTCTCACTTCACATCTTCTAACCCACTTGATAGAATGACTGAAGAAAAGTATCTTTATGTACTGGTGGATAAGTCATTAGTCATGATTAGGATTCAGTGGAGAGCTGTTCTGATTATTCCAGGGATAGATTTATTGTAGAATTTGGGCTTTGATTTCTTTGTGCTATGCTCTGTAGACAAAAGAATGAGATGACATCACAAGTCTATGATTTGAAAAAAAAGAAAGACTGGTTAAGCTTCAATTAAGTTTAATTTTTCTAACAGGATGTCTGGCTTATGGAATCAGGAGTTGTCATGAGCAGCAGTAGTGGTTGATACCTTTGTACAGTTTAAAAAGAGAATTGATAATTTTGTGGAAAAAAAATTCAGGGTTTAAGTTCATACTTTTTCAATCATTGATTATACCAAAAATGTGTTGCTGTTTTTCAGCCTTAACCAAGTACTTATTTAATATTTTGATGGTCAATTAATAATCAATTATAACAAACAAAAAACCCTAACCATTAAGATGTATTAAATCCAAAAAAAGTTTTGAGCAGCAGAAATGAAACTACACATACACAGCACATTTCAGCATAAAACTTGCATTCAGGAGATATTTATATCAATCAACTATGTCACTACTTGGCATGAAGTCCAAGCATAAAAACTCTGAGATCAAAATAAACATTCCAAATTTACATTCATTGGGAAAGAAATTCATCATCTATAGACATTTCTCTTTCTTTTCTTTCTCAATATAACAAAACATACTTTCAAGTCTTTTTAATTCAATCTTTCACCTTACAAAACTAGTTTTAAATGTTTTATGAATATTTGTTCTACAATGTAATTTAAAATAGGTGCCTATGATGGATTTTACACATTGACATAGCTTTGCCATAGTGTCATTACACTAGAGATATTTGAACTTTGAAGAATGATACAAGCCAGAGGCTGAAGTACATAGTTCATAACCTTATATTAACTTTCAATCGCAGCAAGCTACCTACTTCAATCAAACCTAGAAATAAACCCAGTAATGAGTATAGCCAATTAACCATATTTGTTTATGTTTTTAATTTTAGTTATAAAGATTACAATGCATTGTTTCATCAATTGTACTTGTAAGTTGTAGTAGTATATAAATTGTGATGAAGTTTGAGCCATTTTGCTTTCTATAATACTAAAAATAAAGAATATGGAATGCGAAACTTACTTCAGATGTCAACAAATACTAATACTAATAGTCGTAGAGTGTCAATGAACTACTGAAAACTTAGTATTTCAAATTCAATTGGCCCGGCATGGCCAGGTGGTTAGGGCGCTCGACTCGCAATCTGCGAGTCACGGGTTCGAATCCCCATTACACCAAGTATGCTCACCCTTTTAGCCATGGGGGCATTATAATGTGATGGTCAATCCCACTATTCATCGGTAAAAGAGTAGCCCAAGAGTTGGCTGTGGGTAGTGATGACTAGCTGCCTTCCCTCTAGTCTTACACTGGTAAAATAGGGACAGCTAGCATAACATAACAAATTCAATTTTTAGAAACATTCTATTTCTAGAGTTAGAACAGTGGAAAACTGGTTTTGTTAGGTGAACTACAGAGCTAAAATAGTTACAACTTAGGATTTGTGTTACGTTAAGATGAAAAACGAAATCACATAATGAATTTTTTTCTTCATGAAAACAGGATCAGAACACTGAATTTATTATTAACTTACTCAAACTTTGATTCAAACTCAAAATCAAGCCTTGAATCAAGGTTTTCGTGCTCAATTACAACAATCAACTTTACTACTTTAATACTAGCACCAACGGTCTATTACATTTACAATAATTTAAAGCACTAATAATAACTACACTTATATAAGTAAAAAGTAAATAATAATACGAATATTATTACCTCAGAGATTTGTAAACACTTCCCATGAAGACGTTAGACGCCATGTTGATCAAATTAAGAGCACTTTTAGAAAATCATTTTAAACTTTATGTTTTATGAAAATAAAAAATAAACAAAAAATCACTAAAAGATACTTTTATTATCTGTAGTACTTGGTGAAATTGAATTGAATTTATTCAATAGTACTGAAAGTTATGATTTTATCTATGTATGTTCAATTTAACTATAATTAAAAAATACCAATAATCCTACAGCCTACAAATGTAGATTTAGCTTATTGGTTTCTAAGGCTTCGCTGATTCTCGGCGTTTAATCAATATATTTAGTTTGTTTAAAAATTTTCGCTTAGAGCTATACAAAAGGCTAATTGCGCAGAGTTGCCCATAACTTGATGGAATGAGACATGATCTGGAGTCTGTAGATTGGACTAAAGAGTTGGGAGGAGATACTGAACAGATGTGAGAAGCATTTAAGAAAAAGTTGATATGCATACAGAACATACGTATTCCCTACAGTAAAAAAAGATAAAAGAAATATCATTTTAAATTGTGAAACTGTAAGAGAAAAGTTGAGAAAACTAAAAACTGCTAACCCCCCTGGACCAGACAACTTTTATCGTGAAGTTTTAAAGGAACGTAAAGGTTTTATTTGTGTACTGCTAGCTAATATTTTTTATAGGTCATTGAATAGTGGGAGAGTATTAGAAGATTGAAAGTTGGCTAATGTTAGTCCAATATTTGAAGGAAGTGATAAATATTGACCAGGCAAATATAGGCCAGTTAGTTTTATATCAGTAGTTAGAAAGCTTTTGGAGAGATGCATCGCAGATTCACTTAAAGCAGTTTGATATTGTTACGCCTTCAGTCGTAAATTCGTTCAAACGAAACTTTAGCGACACAAGTCCTTTCTTAAATAAAACTGGTTTATTCTTTCCGAATACAACTTTACGATACAGTCGCTCTATAACAAAGGCTATATTCTCAACGAACGTCTCACGTGCTCGTGCTCGACTCAACAATACTCAGTTCAATTACACACACATTGTTGCCGTCAATTTGTGACTGTCTTATATATACAAGACTAACACATATCTAATAAATGCTAGAGCATTCATGAAGGAACAGGATATTTCTAGAAGGGCGTGGCGTGATACTAGTCACGTGACCTCGCTGATGCAACACTGCCCCTCCTTAGTATTGTCCGTCCCGAACAATAGCCACTTACAATAAACCAATAACAATTAACAATAATCTAAATAAATGTACAAAATGTACAGAATTACAAACACAAACTTACAATTCAACAAAGTCTCTTAATTTTACGAGACGTATCTTCTTCCGTACTGGTCTCTGTCTCGTTGGCTTCTGCTTCACGTGGGGTTCATCTGCTTCATCAGGAAATGTCCTATCGTCGGTAACAGTCACATCAGTGGTAGTAACTTCATCAAGAGATTCACCGTTTCCCTTCTCAAAACTGAGTAGAGTTTATTCTTCAACAATGGCTTTTTCAGGTGACACATCTTCAGCAGCATCATTTGGTCTGTTGTTCACTTCGTCCCAACTGAAATGTCCTGGACCGTGATAACACCAAAACCTGTTGGCATGCACCCCTTTTGGCTTACCTCGCCGACCACATTTTATCCGGAAAGTCACGTCTGAGAGACGATCCATTATGTCATATGGGCCTTCCCAAGGAGAAGACAATGTTACGTCTCCGTTTGTTAATTGATTTTTCCGTAACTTCGTTCCAACGAAACTTTAACGACACAAGT